CTGGTGCGTTCACTCTCTGGAACACCACGTTACTGTTGTTGCTGTCCCCTCCCTGCTGGTCGAGTTTCTCGATCACCGATGTCCGAATGAACGCGACCTGTTCGTCAGTGAGAACGTCGCTGGTGATCGCTGTCATGACCTCCGTCGCCTGGTCGCAATTTAGCTTCCCAACGTTCTTGACCTGCCGAGCGATCACCTCGGCAGCCTCTCTGGACATCCTCTCGTACTCGGCCCCAGCGCGTGGCAGGCCGCCCTTCAAGTTTCACTTCATGAGGTGGACTCGGGCGTTGACGAAATTCATCTGGGCACTCATGGGCACGCGTGCGACATGGGTATGTCAAGAACCCCTCAACGCCCCAGGGCAATCCTCTGGGCCTCGGCGCCGCTGAGCCGTTGCGGCGAGGGGCGGGGGAGGGGGGGTTGGAAGAACGAGGGGGTGGGGAAGGTGAGCGAGAGTCGGATCGGATCGGCATGCAATGGAATCCAGGGGGACGGGGTGAGAGGGGAGACGAAAGGGACAGGATGGGAGGATGGAAGGATGAGGCGGGAAGGGGAATGGAGGAATTGGAAAGGAACAAATGAAGGGAAGGGGGGGCGGCAAGGAAGAGGAATGGAGGACTGTTTCAGCATCTCTAACCCCCCAGTGGTAAGTAAACCCCACACGTGCTCGCTACTGCAACGGCGCCCTCAATCGCTGCTGCGACTTCGTGGATTACCCACAGTGCGCGAGGCAAGCCTTCTGCGCGCAGTAGCGTTCAAGCATGCGGACGCCCCTTCAGACGGTGCCTCCTCATCGGGGCGGCTGCTGCCTCGTCGTGGCTCTCCTCAACCGCGGGATCCTCGCCAATGTTGAGGCCAGCGTCGTTCACCTGCTGCTCGACGGTGTCGGTCAAGCCCTTGGCGGTCTCCATCGCTGCCTTCAGGCGCTGCTCCACCTCCTTGGGGTTGCCCGTCCAGCCTGGCTCGATCGCCAGCCTCACCTCGGCAACCATAGCGTCCAGGGCTCCTTTGGCCTTCTGGCCGTTCTCCAAAAACTTGCGCCCAATGTAGCCCTTGTACTTGTCTGCAGAAGCCTTCTTGATCATCGCGTCGAGATCGTTGCCGTGCGTCTCTGCCTTCCCGATGTTCTTCTCGAGCCTCGTCTTGGTCGCTGCAGAGATCACCTTCTCTTTGGGTGCAGCTGGAGGCTTGGCCACCTTCGGCTTCTTCATCTTTTGCTCCGTGGAGATCTTCGTATCATGGGAGGTCTTGCGACTGTAACGGGACCCCCTCTTGGTCTTGATCTTGGCATCCTGGTAAAGCGTCACTTGGCGATGCGGGTGGACCCTCGTCCCCGCGTTCTGCATGATCGCACGGGCTTGATGCTCTCGCCCCTTGCATCTCTCGAGAAGCTCGAACTCGCCCAGCCAATCGTCAGACTCCCCTGATTCAGACATCGACTCCTGCTCCTCTTTCTTTGCCACGGTCGTCTCAATGACGGCGGCCAGGTCGGGGCCAAGGGCATCAACATTGTCTTTGAAAAAGGTGGCCTTCTCATCCTTGGTCATTCCTTTGGCCCACCCCTTCAGCCCAGGGCTGCACTGCTGAATCTTCTCGATTCTGCCCCACAGGCGGTTGCAGTCAGTGCAACAATAGCACGGCGAAGCGCCCTTCTCCTCCACGCGCTTCCTGTTTTTGATAACCCCGTTTGAAGGTTGGCCCTCAGCGTCGAGCTGGATCTGCGTGTCGCAGGTCACGCACGCTGCCTCGGGCATCTTGACGGAATGCTCCACAATCGAGGCGACCAAGCAAGACAAGCCTTTGCTGAAGCTAAACGGCGATGGGAATAGATGGGGGCTTGACGGCAACAAACAAAAACATAATATGACATACTGCGTCTGAACATGCACAATGCACAAATAACAACGACGTTGTTTTCCACTTACGATACCTAACTACATAACTGATCGTAACTCAACGTAACTCATTAATAAGTTCACATAAGTTCACCCAATTGACTTATAAGATACACATGATATTTTTCTTACATGGAACCTCACTCCCGGCCCCGGCCCGGCCCCCGGCCCCGGCCCGGCCCCCGGCCCCGGCCCGGCCCCCGGCCCAGGGCCCAGCCATGGCACGGGCTTTGGCCGGGCCCCGGCCCGGACCCCAGCTCCCGGCCCTGGCCCGGCTCCCGGCCCACGACCCCGACACCGCCCAGCCCTGGCCCGGCTCCCAATCCTGGCCCCGATCCTGCTGGCCCCGATCCCGGTTCCCGGCCCCGGCCCTCTGGCCCCAGCCCCATGCAGTGCCGGAACCGTCCAAAAACGATTCGCTGAGATGCCCAAGGGTCTTGCTTAGTGGTTAGCCTGACTCAATCGGGTTGCAATGAAGTTCCCATAACCGAACTTACAATTCGGCTAACCTATGTTACAAGCTTCACATCCAAGGCTAAGCTCGGTACGCATGCACATCCACGGGGTGAACATCATATCGTTTTAGCCGAGTTACCAGAACCCAGAAGAAGTATATATATATACTAGAACCACGCGCGCGCTTCGCGCGCGCTTAGGTTCTAGCGCGGACTTCTCCGATAACGAATGCGAGCTCGCACATAAGAGGAGCAGGCGGATGGGTCGGAGCATCATGGACATCAAGAGCACGGGTATCCTGGCCTTGCTCGCTCTCCTTCGCCGCTCTCCCCGTGATCCTGCTCCCGCATCATCGCAAACATTATCAACATCACTCTGAATAGCATCACCATCATCAACATCGTTGACGTCGTTGACTTCGTTACGATCACGATAATCTTTGACGCGGTCGCTGTCTTCGTCATCGCCATCGTCATCATCATCGTGCATCGCCGTCACCATCGGTGAGCGAATCGTCATCACCGTCGTCATCAACATTATCATCCGAACCCTAACTTCATCAGATTTGTCATCATCACCATCATCACCATCACCGCCACGATCTCTGTCAGCATCGTCATCATCATCATCATGTTCATCATCATCATCATCAACATTAGCATCATCATCGTCGTCGCCATCGCGCACGTTGTCATCGTCAGAATCGTGCCTCATCAAAAACATCATGCACTCCCCCATCATCCAAATCATCATCAACACCACCGTCATCAACATTCCCATCACCATCACAACCACCACCATCACCATGGCCAGCACCATGACCATCACCATGACCATCACCATGACTACGGCCATCATCATCATGATCACCATCATCATCATCATCATCATTAGCATGAGCATGGTCATGGCCATCGCCATCGTCATCATCATCATCATCATCGTCTTCGTCATAATCATCATGAATTTCACGTCTATCACCGCCGCGGTAGGCCGTGCACGTCGTCACCGTTATCGCCAATTGTTTTGAGCCCTCTTGTGCTCTCGTGATCCCCGGGGGCGTCTTGTTCCTGTAGGGGTCTTCCCGGGAATCGTCGTGGGCCCGAGGGCTCGAGATGCTAACCCCACCAGCCCTTTAGGGCGTGAGTGGTCTAAGGAGCTCGTTCTGCTAAACCTCCTTATTCCACTTCGGGGAGGGGGTTCCCCTTATCCCCTCTCCCTGGGCCTGGAGGGAGGGTTCCGCGACCCCTTTCCTCCTCTTCCTTTTGCTCTTCCCTCTCCTCTTCCTCATCCTTCACTTGCTGTTCCTCCTCCTCCTCCTCCTCCGCCTCCTCCTCTTCTTCGTTACCGTCCTCGTCCTCCCCCTCGGCCTCCTCTTCCCCCCCTCGCCTCCTCCTCCTCCTCCTCCTCCTCCTTCTTCTCCTCGCCCCTCCACGCAGGCCCCCGACAAGTTTTCCGCAAGCGCATATCGCGGCTGTGGTTCCGCCCCGTATTGGGCGCCTGACGCCGCGCCTCGTATAAGCGCCTGACGCCGCGCCGGGGAGGGGGCGCGCGCCTACGAGGCGCGCGCCGAGGGATTCCGGCGCGCCTGGCATAGGCGCGAGCCGAAGGATTCCGATCTACTGGGCACCTAGTCGGACGCAGCGCCAGTGTCTCTTCTTAAAAAGGAGAGGGGGCTTATTTGTGTCATGTTCGGTTGTTCATATGTCACCATCGGCTTCTGCAGAGGGGGGGCGCGGCTACCACACTCCGAACGAGAGGAAATGTAGACAGACATCCGCCATAGCAGCACTGTGGCCTTGGCGGGCGCCATGCTGGGCGCGGGCGCGGGGAAGCTCGCGCATCACACATTACGCGCGTCTCCAGCGGGGCGCATAAATCAATTTCACCACCTGGGAGCATCTGGGCAGGGACAGAAGTGGACGGTCTGGACACGAATAGTACAGATTGGGAAGGGCTGATCTCAAAGTGAAGCATCTGAATAAGGCCGTTTGGGGAAAGCTGATCTGAAATCGCGGGATCGACCGCTCAGGACTGACGCCCGCGATCCGATGTAGGCGATCTGAGGGCAAGCGCGGCCTGGCCTGATGGCGTGCCGACGGCGGGGGGAGCAGGGGGAGAGAGCGGGCGCCGCTAGCGATCAGTGGGGACAGGGGTTGTTCAGTAAAGTGCGCGCAGACTGTTCCGGGGAGGCGCGGCCGGAACGTTTTGGCGTTTCGGAGCCCGGCGACCGTGATTCAGACCTCAGAGGGGGGGGCCCCTGGGATGGGCGGGGGGGTCGCGCCAGACGGGGTGCGTCCTGTCCGCGGAACAACCGAGAGTGTCTAGACAACGGGGTCTTCGGGGGACCTAGTAGATGCATTCGGGAATGGGGCGGCATTCATCCAAGCGTTCCGAAAGGTGTGCGCAGCATGTTCCGGGGAGGGCTTCCCGGAACGTTCGGCGCCAGAACGGGTGTGCCCTGTGTGCGGACGGACCGAGATTTCCTAAACACCGAGTCTTCAGGAGTCTTATTAGATGCATTCTGGAATGGGGGTGGCGTCCACCACAGCGCTCGAAAAGCTGGCCGGCGGGGGGCAGCATGCCTTCACATGGCGGGCTGCGGGCCGATGGGGATTGCGCTGGCGCTGCTCCACAGGTTGGTAGCGCTCAGATTGACATGCCGCGCCAGCCGATGATCCCGGTGCCCCACCACGCGTTCAGGGTCCGGGGCGTGGGGACCACGCTGCCGTCCCGGAGCTTCTTCTGGCAGGACACCTCCACGCGCTGGAAGGTCACGACCCCCGTCGGGAGGGGGCGGAGCGCAAGCGCAGCCCACACTGTCATGTTGATCCGCCCGCTGCCGTTCGGCTCCTGGAGCGTGATGCCGCGCCGGGATTCGTTCACCTTCATGACGGTGGTGTGGTCCACGATGATTCCGGACAAGTTCAGGATGAGCGTTCCCTGGAAGGATGCCGGGATCGCGTTGAAGGGCGTGGATGCTGCCGCCCAATCTGTGCGAAGAGGGCGCGGCGGGTCAATGGTGGCAACCGCCACCGCACAGATGGGGCCTTTCGTGCCGGAATCGTCCCAGGCCCAGCTGTGCAAGAGCTGGGCCTGGGCGATCTGGACATCTTCAAGCCACTCAGTGATGGGCGTCGGCGAGATTGGAGCACGGGTGGCAATCCTCGAAGACGCTGGCATGTGAAGGGTCAGCGCCGGGGCCTGCTCGAAGATGTTCTTGGCCACCGGCGCGGAGCTCCACACTGTCACGCCGACCTGGGGAGGGGGCGCGCGGGGGGGGGTGTCACGCGGGAGCGCGACGGGGCCTAGCAGAGCAGTCAGGGATCGGATGGCCGGCTCTCTTGAGCGGGCAGAGGGGAGGGGTGGCAGAAGAGGTGATGCCCGGAGACGCGCGTGCCGCTGAGATGGGGGAGGTAAAGATTTCCCGCGGGGAAGACCTGCCCGTTGCCGGTGCCCCAGACGCGGCCCTTGGGGCCGTTCTGGGCCTTCTCCGCGTCCGAATGGATCTGCGATCTCTCCGTGACCCACATGTTGAACGTCACCCACTGGCCCGGGAGATTCCCCTCGAGGTCCGCGAGCTCGACCTCCGCCGCCATCGCGATGGGCGGGGGCGGAATCGGCCGCCCCGCCGGGCGCGGCGCCCGCGGCGGCGGGGCCGCGCCGATAGGCGCCCCGATGGGCAGGCGACCCGGGTCAGCGCGCAGCGCTGGCGGCATGACGCGCGGGGCGCGGCCTCCTTCGGGCGCGCCGGCGGCGGCGGCAGGGGGCGCGCCGCCTGTGGGCAAGGCGGCGCCCGCCAGCTCCGGCATCGCGCGGGCACCGGGAGCGACAGCGCCGTGGCCGGCAGTGGAAGCGCCAGCGCCGGGGTGCACAGCCGGGTCGACACCCGGAGCCGACGTCGGTGGCGCGCCGCCCTCTGTAGGGCGACGCGCGGGGCCTCCGCGGGGCGCAACTGCGATGCGGCTCCTCTGCTCTGCGGCTCTCTGCACGAGTTCATCGGCCTCCGCGTTCAGGCCGGCGGCGCGGAGCTGCGACGCGGAGTCCTCCAAGGCGGCGGCCTTCTGCTCCGCGGCGGCGGTCGATGCCTGGAGCGTCGCGGCCGCGGCGCGGTGCTCGGCAGCCTGCTGCGCGAGCTTGTCCGCCGCCTCGTTCAAGCCCGCGGCGCGCAACTGCGCCTCGGCGCCCTCCAGGGCGATGGCCTTCTCCTCGGCCGGGCGGCTCTCCGAAGTCGGCTCGACACTCTCCGCTGTCGCGGCGGCAGGCGAACCGGGCGACGGGGCGTCGTCGGTGGCCCCCGGGAGCGCGGCGGGAAGCGAGCCGCCAGACGGGAGGCCGCCCGGGCGGCGCGGGGATCTCGACCGGCCCCAATCGGGGTCTTCGGAATCGTCGCTGGAATCGGAGAGGTTGACGGCCGCGAGGCTCGCGAGGTCCATGGCTGAGAGGTCCATGGTGACCAGTGATTGGACGCGGCGGTGTGCTTCGCGCCGGCCTCGGGCGCGCTGTGGAGAGTAGCTCAGCGTGGCGCTAGTAGTACTGTTCGAGCCATGAGAAAGCAATGATGATGAGTAACTATGATGATGGTGACGAACATGGTTGGGATGACGGCGACGACGCTGGCGGCGTAAATGACGTCGGTACTGTTGGCACGAAGGTGTCGCTCTTAATGGGAACGTCGGCGAGGGGTGTAGGGCTGTAGCGGTGTAGGGCTGTAAAGCTATAGGGCCATGGGGCTATGTGGCTGTAGGGCTATGTATGGCCATAAAGATGTAAGGCTATAGGGCCCTAGGGCTCCATGGGGTTCAGGGGTATTGGGATCTGGGGCCGTGGGGCCACAGGGGTATAGGGCTATAGGGCTACTGGGCTATAGGGCTGTAGGAATATCGGTCTACAAGGCTTCAGGGCTGTAGGGTTGTAGGGCTATAGGTGTACACGGCTGTAGGGCTCTATTGCTATGGCGATATAAGGCTGTAGGTCTATAGGGCAGCACGGCTGTAAGGCTATAGGGTTGTGGGATATAGGGCCATAGGGCTATAGGGCTATCGGGCTATAGGGCTGTAGGTATGTAGGGCCATTGGGCTATATGGCAATAGGGCTATAAGATTACAGGGATGTAGGGCTGTAGGGTTGCAGGGCTATCGGGCTATAGAGCTATATATGGCTATAGGGCTAGAGGGTCGTAGAAATATAGCGCGCCCCGGGGCGGGCCCTCTGAACACCCGGGCACCAGGTCACTCGGCACCTCATCCGGCCACCGAAATCGGCGACATACCTCAGCTCACCACGTGAATTCGCTAGGACCCCCTACAGAGGCAGGATCTGATGGGGACGTTTCGAAAATCCTCCTCCTCTTCCTCCTGTCCTCTCACCCCAGTTTGTCTTTATTCTCACCCCTATCCCCCCCGCGTGCTGTTCGTCCCACCCTCAATCCGTCTCCCATCCTCATCTGGATCTAGCCTCCACAGGCCTTCCCATTGCGCAGAACCTCCTTCTCCTCATGCTCCTCGCCCTGCCCTAGCCTCAGCGTGTTCCGGAAGGGCCTTCCCGACATCTCCCTACTGTGCCTCTTCCGGGCTCAAGAGGGGTGCGCGAGAGGGCACATCTTGTTGGACACGCATCGACGTGCAGCGAACGCGCAGTAAGTCACACCGAGGGGCGATAAGTGAAACTGCTGGAAGTCGCACATTAGCACGGGCTTGCTGTAGCACGGGCATGCTTGTGGCCCTGGCCCTGTGTCCGGGGATGACAACCTAGCTACTGGTCCATGCGGTGAGCTACCAGGAAGCAGTGCCAAGGACAGAAATCCTGAGCTGAGGAACGTGTGGAATGCTCGAAAGCGCAAGTGGTGAGAAGGTCTTCTACTTGGGTGCTGGATATGACGTGAGGCGTGGTGTACAAAGAATCGCAAAGCAATGCAGTCGACTCAGGTTGCAAGTTCGCAGGGACGAACGATCCGTTCAGCACGCTTATCCAATGCCCGCCTGAGGATGGTATACGTAGAAGGTACGCTCCCGGCCGGTATGTGGACTCGGGCGTGTCGTAGTTCGCGAATGCATTACCCAGCCTATCTTGGATTTCTTGGGGCGTCATCGGGAAAAAGGCTGCCCCAGCTGCAGTGAAGTTACTCGTTATCACAGCCACATCGTAATTGCTACCACCCGGCTCGATAAGGTGTTCACGGGCGTCGCCTATGGCGTACTGCATGGCAATCTCCTCAAAGGTGGTGCGGGAAACAATGTGTGGTGGGCGGTTCTGTATTGTATGTATGGGGACCATGCAATGGTTGAAAGCGTGGAGGCCACAAGTTGCTCCATGTTGCGTACCCGCAGAGGTGGTGGCCACACTGGCTGGGGAATTGAACCATGACGGAGTTTCGAGGAGCGGTGGTAAATCTGTCGGGAACGGCATGGATGGGTGTTGTACACCCTTCCACTGCGTCTGCGGACGAGGTGGCACGCACGGGGTTTTCTTTTGTGTGCGGGGCCTCTGCAGAGGGCCAGCTATGCTTGGTGCTGCGGATGACTGATGAAGGTCGCCACATGTTAGCGCTTCTCGGACCGATGGAATCACCGACGGCGAGGCTTCGCTTGTTTTTCTACGCTTCCTCGGGCGCCGCGGTCTTCTGTCTGGACCGGGGAGGCTACAAGGGGACGTGCTGTAATCGTGAGACGCGCCTTCGTCGAAAGTTTCTTCGGGAACGATGCTGTCAGTTACGGACGCCGAATGCAAACGGAGCAGGTCGGCAGGGCTTTCTTGCAGTGCGTCGAGTGAAAGATGGATCTCCAGCGGGGTGTCAGCGGCCACTGTTAGGTTCGACGATGTGGGCGCGGCGGGTGGCGGCGTACATGTTGGACCACAGGTTAGAGGGGCCGTGGGTTCGCATGCTGAATGACCTGGGCGGTGTGTGGGGCGTGCTGCTTGAAGCAAAGACGCATCGACGATGTTGGACGTGAATGCTCTCGCCTTCCCGGCGCTGCTCGGCGGCACGCGTCCTTGCTCTCTCAGGTGGGTCTCTTCTACGAGGACCGTCGTGTTCTCGAAGCTGGCGCCTCTGGACAACGCTACATACAGTTGACCATGTGCGAAGACCGGCCCGGGAAGGTACACGCCTAAACGACCTTGAAGGGACTGGCCCTGGGACTTGTTGATCGCAATGGCCCAAGCGTGCTTCACAGGGTATTGGTGGCGCCGCAGCACGAAAGGGAGCTCGCAGTCCCCGCAGGAATCGCAGCAGATCCGGGGTAAGAGCTCGACGTTGCCAGCGAAAGGCCCAGTGACGACGCGGACGACGAGGAAGTACGCGTGCATGCGCTCTACGACCAGGCGCGTGCCGTTGCAGAGACCACGGTGCGGAGCGAAGTTGCGCAGCAGAATGACCAGCGAGCCCCGTCGCAGGCGGAGCTCGTGGGGCGGGAGACCAGCAGTTTGCAGGGTGTTGAGAAACTCTGTGGTGTACGTATCTCCGTGGTCCACCTCAGCGCAGGCGACGTCGTGGCTCCTGGAGACAATCTCGGTGTCCGCTGGCAGCATGTCTACCATCAGTGCGTTGAGGCTGTCCGCGGCCTCGTTAGTCGGCGTGACGACCGCGCGCGATGCGTAGTACTGGTACCACTGCGCAGGGTCAATATGCTCGAAGCCTTCGTACACCCAGTCCAGAAGATCCCGTGGCGCCCACGTGTGAGGGGCAAGGACGGCATCTGGAAGCTCTACGACGCATGACTCGTACTCGCGGTCGACGCCGACAAATGGTGGGCCCTCGCAAGTGCCGTCGCCGACGCGGAGGCAGAATTCGGCGAATTCGGAATCGAAGTTTGCCCGCATGTTCCGCTGAAGTCGGAACTGTTGCACGTGCGGGGAATCCCACCACGGCATGGCGACCAGCGTGTGGCTACGAACGGCGTCGCGATCCAGGTAGCGAAGTACCGGAGGGATTTGCCGGAAGTCGCCGCCCAGAACCACCGTCTTTCCCCCGAAGGGCCGGCTGTCTCCCAGGATCTCTTGGAGGCACTTGTCCACGGCCTCGCACATGGCGCGGGAGGCCGTGGGCGCTTCGTCCCAGACTATTACCGCAGCTTCTCGTATGAGTCTGGCGGCGGCGGACTGCGCTTTGATATTTGCTTTGCAGCCCTCTAAGGGAACGGGCACAGGGAGGCGAAAGCGAGAGTGCGCGGTGCGCCCGCCGGGGAGCAGCAGAGCCGCAATGCCAGACATGGCGACTGCCAACGCGATTCGGCCGGTCATGCGGACGTAATGGAGGATTTTGCGATACACGTGGGTTTTCCCGGTTCCAGCAGGGCCGTCAATGTAGACTACGTTTGCAGTTTCTGGCGACGCAGTGCCATCTACTTTTGCTTGCACGAAATCGAATATGGGCTGCTGGTCGCCATTCAGACTCAATTTGTCGAACTGGTCTTTCTCTTTGCACATTTCTGCGGGACTGCGCAATTCCCGGCTGTACTCTTGGGCCGCGCGCTCCTCTGGCAGGAGGGTCGCCGTGGGCGACGGGGGCGGCATGGCGAAGGCCTGCATCGTGCAGCCGTACACTACCAAATGCTCGTCGACAGCGCGGTACACGACGGACGGGTCTACAGCGCAGTGATGTTCTGATAATAACTGTAGAAACGTCGTCCAGAAATCGGACTTGTTGTTGACGTCCATCCACACGAGGAACTGGGCGAACATCTCACATATGCGCGACATGCTACGTACAATCCGGCACGCCTCCGTCAGGGCGGCGATGGCTTCCACATCGTCCGCCAGGAGCCCGAGCTCGCGTGCGTGTGCTTGGAAAGACGGAGGCCCGTCACCGCTGCCTGACCGGGCCAGCGAGTCCCACGAAGTGGCTTCGCTACCGCGCACGTGGAGAAGGAGCAGGCGGAGGTAATACAACTCCCCAGCTTGTGGCTTCACGACCGCGCACCAGGTCTGCGCTGGTTTGAGGGCGTTGGACTCTGGACCTTTGCTGACTACCTAACAGACCGCCCCAACCGAACCTGATGCCCCGACCTTCGGGGTGAGAGGGGGGGCTCGCTGATGCTATAATTTCTGTTCGATGTCCCTAGGGCCTCCCGCCACGGCCTCTGCGGGGCTGCGGCTGGGAAGGTTTACCAGCGGGTTCCGGCGGGAGCTCGCCGGAACGCGCTGTGGCTGAAGGTCGGATGCCGGAGCGCGTTTGCAGGGGGAATCCGCCGTGGGGTGTGTCCCCAGCGCGTTCCGGAGAGGCCTGTCCGGAACGCGCTGGAGGGACTCGCCCTCTGGTCAGCCGGCCTCGGGCCACTGCGAAGGGTCCTCGGGGGGCGTGGCGGCAGCCAACAGGATAGGACATGCGCCCGATCACGTCATTGTTCCGGGCGCGGACTCGTCGCCGAAGCCATCGAGAGTGCTTGGCGTCCCATTTGAAATGCTGCGATACTTCGGAATACTTCATAGACAGTACCAGGTCGCTGTCCTG